CTGAGGAAGAAGTACATGGGTGTGTGCAGATGGGGATCCGCCATTATTACAGTCATCATGCCAAGGTTTTCCAGGAGACCAAAGAGATAAACCAGGAGAAACACAGGGAAAAGCCTCACTTTGATATGTCTGTTACTGGTAATTCCCAGGAAAATGAATTCATTCAAGCCAGAGCAATTTCCCCCATCCATTCTTCTTTCTCTTGTCTAAACTTAAATATATGAGAGGTCTGTACATTGAAAAATATCTGTAAAGCAGAACACATTTTGTTTCTCTAGGTTTTTTTTAATCCTCACAAATATTGGATGCTTTTGAGAACAGTAAAATCATCAATCCAAAGTAGCGGTTGAGAAGTTGTGAGCAAGGTCTAAATCTATATCATAACATATGTGTCTCTTTATGTCTTCTCTGATTTCTCTGGTCTTTCACTGTCCTAATTTCAGCTAAAACATACTTGATGATTGAAATCTCCATAAATCTTCCAAATAATATGAATGAAACACAAATTTTAGGGAAATTACATCATGAGAAATAGTTTAGTGCTTGCTATGTTTCTTAAAAGTAATCATCAACACAGAAAAAAAGTATAATTTTTATCATCTTCAAAATTCATTCAGATATTAAAAGAGCATCTATTAATTCTAGAAATAATGGTATTACTGACAAATAAAGATAAAATTATTCTAGTCTTCCAGCTTTTTAGTATTTGATAAAACATGAAATAAATATTACTGACTCTTTCCCCCAAAAAATGATTTTGCAAATATGCTCATTGCTTACTATAGTGAAAATTTGAAGCTAAAAGATTAATCTTCTCATTACTCCAAAATAAAAGCTAAAATGCAAGTGAGAGAATACACTGTAATCCATACACTTACATTATATCACAATTTATGAATGTATTTATTGCATATAGCAAATTGGGTTTATACAAAAGTGAAAACAAGATGAACTACTATTGTAAGTTTAGACATATGTAGTTTTCTTCCTTGAGTGTATGAACATTCATAAATAGGTAATGCATTTTCATGTATGCGCGATTCTTAATGGAAATGTGAGAAGTGGAATGTGTGGTGTGTATACTTGTGAGATATCTGTTCGACTTCTTTGATAGGTGACTGTTATATTGTATACACCGATTTAAATTTTCACATATTGTTACTTCTAATGTGATATTTATAATGTGGTACTTCAATTGTATATTAATTAAGCTAGAAAATTCTGAAATTTATGTAAATACTTACACAATGGTAAAATCAATAAAATCTTTCTATGAACCCAGATTAAAGAAAAATAAGGGAAATGAGATGTTGTGGATACTAATAAATACAGTAAAAGATTTTTATTCTGAGGAGAAATTACCAGTTTTGAAAATTAGATTTCAGAAAATGTTCTGCTAATCAATCTAGTATAAAACAATTAACTTTTCTCCCACCAGTTAGGTTTGTTGATTTCATTATTTTACATTATGTTTTAAATTTGGAAACTCAAGAACTTACCTGAGATGATCGATACTTTGGTAACTGAACATAAGGCAGATAGCATTTTATTCTAACAGGAACCTTTTGGGACTTAACTCTCTGAAGCTAGTTTTTTAGGCTTCCAAGTTGGGCAAACATGTAATTAATTGTATTTCTGCATCTATATTTTCCCCTGTGACTACAAGAACCACTGGAACACAGGTGGAACTTGTGTCTTGAATAGAGTTCACAACTCATGTAGGTCAGA